CCAGACGACCTTCGGAGGAGGTCTCCAATACTCCCCCCCCCGAAAACTTGGGGGGTGACAGGAACCTGAGAAACGCAGGCTGAGACTAGAGCATTCTTGTTCTTCCTCTCTTACGAATCTCACCAAAGAGGTAAAGGAGTTTTGTTTGCAATCCGGTTAGCAGGTAACCACCCCGACGCCATTAGCGTGAAGGACACAGGGTGCCTAGAACATTCCCCGTGTGGTCTACAAAAGCTAATGGACTTAGACTCAAGTGTCAACCTGACCTAGGTACTCTCGAGGCTAATTAAACTCCATCCAAATGGCCTATGCGCTTGTTTGTAAAAGTTTTTGATCTTGTAGCGATGCCCCAAATCATCTAGAGACTTCTGCTCTGCCATGGGAGCCGGCTATCCGTGACAGGCGTTAAGTGAGCTCTCAAGTCAAACAGACTTTGGCTTCACTCCGGAGAGATCCTTTCCTATCTCGGTGACCTTGGGCACGTGACTCAGCTCTTCCCTGCGGAGCCTGCCCACAACAACTCGGTTCCTGGCTCACTGGGTTGCCGGGATGAGAGGAGATCCTGCTCATACACAGCATGGCACGACCTCTGACCTAAGCTTTCAAACACCGTTCACTGTTATTACAGGGGAAGGGTCTTTATTGCAAGACAGAGTCATTTTTCCTGGCATGTAGGCTTTTTGTTTTCTTTCAAGCGATCCATACTTAACAGATTTCCCCCCTACCATGAAAGGGGTTACGTTTTCATTTTGATGAGACATAGACCCAGAACCCAGTGGAGGGGAAGAGAAGCCCCTCTGTGCGGGAAGCTACTGCCCAGGGGCCTCCAGGAGCCCTGAGGATTCCTTCCCCTGGAGACGCAGCAGGCGTCCAGCCTCATCATCAAGCACCTGTCGCTCTTCTGCTACTATGGCAACAGTGATGTTTCTCTTCTGCAATACCCCTCAGCTTGATTTGGATTTTGGCTTTCAAATGGATGACCTCAATGATTAATTCAATATAATCCATATTAAAATGGCATATATGTACATAAGTGCTTAACACATTTTTAAGAAACTACAAAGTGTATGTTTTAATGTTTTATATAATTATAGTGGTATTTGTTCTGAACCAAAAATTGGGACATAAGATACAACAAAAGATTTTAAATATTTTGAGACTTTTTAAAATTTTAACCTTTTTTTTTTTTTTCTTAGAGACTGGGCGGGGAGGGAGAAAGAAAGAATCATAAGCAGGCTCCACGCCCGGTGCGAAGCCTGACCTGGGGTTCGACCCATGACCCTGAGATCATGACCTGAGCCAAAATCAAGAGTTGGACGCTCAATGGACTGAGCCCCCCAGGCAGCCCATCACTGTTTCTTCTGGAGTAATTTTAGACCCACGGAAGACTCGTTGTAATAGTGCAGAGTTCCTATATTCCTGTTCCAGCTTCTCCTACTGTTAACATCTTATATAACCAGGGCAGAGGCATCAAAACTTGGAGACGAACGTTGTAAGACTATTAACTAAGCTACAGGCTTTCTTAGGATTTCAGCAGTTTTTCCCACTACTGTCCCTACTCTGTCATATTATATTTTATGTCTTCTAGTCTCTTCTCATCTGTGACAGTTCCTCTCTTATTCCTTTTCTTTCATGACCTTGACAGTTGTAGAAGGTACCCGTGGGGGCATTGTGTGGAATGTCCCTCGACCGAGTTTCTGTGACGCTTTTCTCCTGATTGAAGTTACACCCTTTTCACTGCATTGTATCAGGGGCCACAGCATGATTCTGAGATGTTTTCTTACTGGTAATTATGACCCAGACTGCTTATGTTCGGGTGAGATCTGCCAGGTCTCACTACTACAAAAGGACTTTTTCTCCTTGTAATTAATAAATATTTTGGGGGACATACTTTGAGGCCATTAGATGTCCTTTTTCTCCTCCAAGCTAATTTTGGCATCTGTTTGTGGGTCTTGTTTGCAACAATCGTGTGGCTTTGTAACGGTGATTCTTCTATGTCCTCATTTCTTCCATATGTGCTGGAATCCTTCTGTAAAGAAGTCATTCCTTCTTCCCCATCTACTTATGCGATCATTTATTTATATCAGTATGGATTTATATTTGTTTTATTCTTTGGGTTATAATCTAATATCATCATTATTTATTTTGTTGCTGCTGGGATCACTGTCAGATTACCCCTGTGGGGTAATTTGTTTATTTCATTGAATACATCCTTCCTCCAGGCCCGTGTTGTATTTTCTCTGCATAGTCCTGGAATCAGTCACTTCTCCCAGAACCTGGGTTCCTTTCATTAGGGAGCATGATCTGAGTGCCAGGTCCTCCCAGGGGACAGAACGAGGAGGCCCATGTGCACGCATTCACGCTCATGCCCGTGACTCGGGTCCGGCACCATAGGCTCAGTCCTAGGTGCCCCTTCCTGGAAAGGGCAGAACCGGCACGAGACACCGACCACTGGCTGCTCGGACGGCAGACACACCAGGCTCCGGGCCTTGTCCATTCCCATGGCCATGTGCACCATGAAGAGGAAATCTGACTCCATGCAAATTTGAGAAGACTTACCTTCTCAACTGGAAGGAGGTCCTTTTCCCTGAAATGTAAAGCTCAGTGTATAAGGCATTTTTCTTCCGTATATTTATGATGTCTTATGTTATGTATTTTATATATATGTAGAATCACATCCTCACTCAGTCTTCACTTCTGTAGCTATTCTCTTCCGCTTTGATTCTCAACAATTTCTACGTACCTCTGTCATCGCCAGTGACCCCTCCTAGCTCTGCGCCTCTCTCTGGAGGGATTCTGGTCGCCCCAGTTTCACGGAAGGATGACGTCATGATGTTCAAGTACTAGGAAAATAAAGACTTGTCCTGCTCAAGCTCACTGGAGAAGACTGTTTGCTCAGACTTGACCAGAGTTCAACTATTTTAAACGACCCTTTGTTTGTAGAGACATTCTTGGGGACACAGATGAAAGGTTAAAGTTAGGGGTTATGAGCCGTGATGCTGGGCTTTGCACGCAGGCTGCTGCTGAGTGCAGCGACGGTCGCACCCAAGTACAAATCCTTGCTTTTTAAAAAATAAAGCTGAGTTTTAATTTGAGCTGCTTGGAAGGCTTCACAGAAATCACGGCGTAGCCCTTTGGCCTGCTTACTCCACTGGAATGTCATTTTATAAATAATATCCCAATTCACAAAACTGTACCTTGATGGCATAAAAAATACCCCAAATATTCACTAGTAGTGGCATGCAGCTTTCTGATTTTTAAAACCTGAGCTTTAACTTTTCTGGTGCCTTCCTAAATCCTATGCTTCTCCCCCCAAAATAGGAAAGTACAATAAGTTTCCTGTTGCAGTCATTTTTTCATTTCCTTTTCTCTTCTAATTTGGCCCAGTAGTTCCCATTTCCGCCTGTAGAGCGTCGCAGACATGGGGCTGCAGACAGACAGACCTGGGTTGGCACTGCAATCCCGTCACTGACCAGCTGTGTGACCCTGGGGGGGGGGGTGGCACGTCTCTGAGCCCCTGTGCTCATCTGTCACCAGAGATAAAAAGCTGCTCTTTGGCTGCCTGTCTGGATGAAATAACAGCACGTGCACAGTATGTGGTAGGATACGGTGACCCACTCCCACACCCAGCTTCGCAAACCGCAAGTGAGCAGTGTCATTAAAAGGCTACAATAGGGGCGCCTGGGTGGCTCAGCTGGTTGAGCGACTGCCTTCGGCTCAGGTCACGATCCTGGAGTCCTGGGATCGAGTCCCGCATCGGGCTCCCTGCTCGGCGGGGAGTCTGCTTCTCCCTCTGACCCTCCTCCCTCTCGTGCTCTCTGTCTCTCATTCTCTCTCGCAAATAAATAAATAAAATCTTTAAAAAAAAAAAAAGTCTTTGGGCGCCTGGGTGGCTCAGTTGGTTAAGTGCCTGCCTTCGGCTCAGGTCATGATCCTGGAGTCCCTGGATCGAGTCCCGCATCGGGCTCCCTGCTCGGTGGGGAGTCTGCTTCTCCCTCCGACCCTCCCCCCTCTCATGCTCTCTGTCTCTTAAATAAATAAAATCATGGGGCACCTGGGTGGCTCAGCTGGTTGAGCGACTGCCTTCAGCTCAGGTCATGACCCTGGAGTCCCGGGATCGGGTCCCGCATCGGGCTCCCTGCTCGGCGGGGAGCCTGCTTCTCCCTCTGACCCTCCCCCCTCTCATGTGCTCTCTCTCATTCTCTCTCTCAAATAAATAAATAAAATTAAAAAAAAAAGGCTACAATAGGGGCGCCTGGGTGGCTCAGCTGGTTGAGCGACTGCCTTCGGCTCAGGTCATGATCCTGGAGTCCCGGGATCGAGTCCCGCATCGGGCTCCCTGCTCGGCAGGGAGTCTGCTTCTCCCTCCGACCCTCCCCCCTCTCATGCTCTCTGTCTCTTAAATAAATAAAATCATGGGGCACCTGGGTGGCTCAGCTGGTTGAGCGACTGCCTTCAGCTCAGGTCATGACCCTGGAGTCCCGGGATCGGGTCCCGCATCGGGCTCCCTGCTCGGCGGGGAGCCTGCTTCTCCCTCTGACCCTCCCCCCTCTCATGTGCTCTCTCTCATTCTCTCTCTCAAATAAATAAATAAAATCTAAAAAAAAAAAAGGCTACAGTAATTTGCTCCCTTAAAACTTGCAATTCCAAACCCCCTCCACAAAAAAAAAAAACACTTTGCAATTTCTAATTTCGATTCATTACCTCCTAATGAATTTTTTTTCTTTTGAATTCCCAAAGTGCCAACTGTTCGATTTGGAAGACACAGTGTGATCCCAGGGCCACAGGAGGGCCTCCCTCCACCACACAGCTAACCTCGGCTCTGATGCTGCCACCAAGGGCCATTTTGGGGGATGTGGTAACTTTGGGACTCTGTATTATACCAAAATGGACAATTAAAAAAAACCCAAAATGCCATTCTTCGTAAAATGTCCTCACAAGTCACAGTAACAGGTTTAATCAATAGAAATTTCTATTTCACATCTATTTCAATCATTCCATCTATAGCTGCCAAGCAGCACCGGGAACTCGGGAAGAACGCATATTTGCTCCACTCACAGTGAGCCGCCCTGGGTCTCCGCCTGCATTTGTGTGCGGAGCTGGGTCTTCTCAGAGCTCTGCTGGACTTCGCCGCTCTCCAGCCCCGGGCTGGGACACGCATTCAGTAGTTCTGTTGCTCACTTGCTTTCCTGGGAATGGTTCCGGCAGATGTGTGCGTCCACTACTAGAGAGATAGAAGAAAAGTCCTCTTAGTCCCTGCGGCTGTTAGTCCTGTCCTGTCTCTCCTCCTAGAAATGCGAAGAAGCAGCGGACATACCCCTACCCGAACCCTGCAGCCACACACCCGGCCAGCGTGTCAGAAAATGACATATTCTGTGAACCCTGCCTGAGTTCTCCCGGGACCACTGACCTCAATCTTCGTGTGGCTTTCATCAGTACCTTTCTACTCCGAAAGGTAAAGTCCCACTTTGGAAATACCCATCTTATAATTTCATTAACAGTCAGATTTGAGAGCACAATTATAAATTCTAATTTGTTTGCATCTGTATTTCAAGTTCTTTATTTAAAATTTCCTTCTAGATAATTCCGAGTACCAAGAAAGCTCTGCAGGTTTGCAGAGCTGAAAGGGAGGCTCTAGGGCTTCTGGTGAAAACCCTCAGGAGGAACCAGTGGTCAAGGGGCGGAGCCCACGTGGTTGGGGCCCTTTACCAGGACGGTGTTTCGGGCCCTGCTTCCTCCCAGGGTCTGGGCTCTGTCTCCTCTAGACCTGGGAGGCTCTTCTCACTAGGACTTAGCCAGATGAACAACATCCATTTGGCTAACTCTGAAGCTTTTTTTCAGAGTTCAGAATGTCATTCATCGCCCACGTGTGTCTCCTCCATCAGACTGTATTAATCAGGAAAGCACAGCCGCTGTAAGAATTGTGGGACTGGGGATTTGTTACAAGAATGACATTCTACCAACTATGAGAGGAGCTGGAGAACGAGAGTCTGGGACGGGAGGATGGAGGTGCAGAGTGCAGGGGCAGGGCATCAGATCTGGCCTGCGTGAGTGAGGAGGAGGGAGCTTGGGTGATGCAGTCTCCGTGGGTCTCAGCCTATGCCTGGCGGTGGGCCGGGGGCTGCTGGAAGATGCTGTGGAGCGGAGAAGCCGGGCACCCTGAGTCAGCCGGTCCCCCCGTTAGCGACCACGGTGACCTGCTAGGAGTGGCCACTTCCTGTTACTTCCACCTTCCCCTTTGGCCACTTCTAACCTGGAAATGTGGACCGCAGCGAATCTGACCACAAGGGGCTATTTCATACTCACGCCATACTCAGAGACTGCAGCAAACGCTCGGCACGTGAACAGTACGAAATACTGCTCACGTGAAACAAGGAACAACAGCACGAAATACTGCTCACGTGAAACAAGGAATGGCAAGAGCATGCATCTACTGCTGGTGTGGAGCAAAAGCAAATCTGCTCCCGTCAGAGCTCCACGAATCGCTTCCAACACACCTGACCACCACCAACAGTTAAACAGTCACGTAGTCCGGCGATTTCAGCGATAGACTGGGGACGGAGGGGAGCCCAGAAAGACAATGCCCAAAGCAGAACAGCTGCCCGCCGGCCGGAGAGGGCACCCAGACTGGCTGTTTGCTGGCGGTCCTTATGCTGCAGGCTGGGTTTGGGATCCCCAGCCCCACTACTTGTTTCTCATTGTTGCTTCTAGACCATTGTTTCTTAACCTTGCTGCTCATTACAATTTGGGGAGATTTAAACAATCTAAATGCTCAAACTGCACCTTGGGGTAACCCAGACCTCAATATTTTTTAAAGTTCCTCATGTGATTTCAACATGCAGCCAAGGTTATGCTCCAGACCCTGTGGGTCTAAATGTGGCTCACGGACCAGCAGGACTGGTGTGGTCTTGGTTCCACCCCAGACCTCTCAGACTAGAAAAGGCATTTACCACCAGCTGCGGTGGCGGAAGGGGCGCTTGTGTCTGAGACGCCCTGTCCAGACCGCCGGTCCTCTCTTTCTCCTAACGGGCCCCACCTGCTCTGAAATCATCACTAGGAGAACAGCCCACTCTCCTGCCCTCTGGCTGACCTGTTCTCCCGCTGCCACCACGGCTGGCTCCCCGTCACTTCAGTCCTCAGACACCTTCCCTGGCCACCCCATCTGTGTCACGTTTACCCCAGTACTCTGCCCCTTCCCGTGCTCTGCTTTTCATTCAGCGTGCTTTATAACCCTCTGGTGGCATATTCCTAGGTTTGAAATCTGTATTCCCGACTAAAATAGAAGTTCCATGATAGAAGAATATAATTGCTTCTGTTTTTTACTATCTCCCTAATACACGGAGCAGCACCTAGCACGTAGTAGGGCTTGGTAAATCGCACAGTTGAGTATTTTCCTTCCTTCATTCCTTTGCTCTGCCACCGCGTCCCCCACTTTAGTTCCTAAGGGCACAGACACCAGTGACAACTGCCAGCTGCCAGGAGCTCTTTACCCAGAAGGAGAGGGACACTCACAGAAATCCTTACGGCCCAGCACGCAAAGGACATGACTTATACAAAGGTGGCAGACGATGATTAGGAAACACCAGACAACGTTCAACCTGAGCAGAATTTAAAAGAGCGCATCAACGTGACTCAGGCAGATGTTAGTGGAGGCATTTGGAGCTGGGGGAGGTGTGCACGTGGGCGGAGAGGCCCGGACAGCAGGCTGGGGCCTGTAAGAGGCCTGAGCATTAGTGCAAGCAGGGAGGACTTGGGACACGGAGTGCCTATATGCACGGTCCCTCGAAAACTTTTAAGATAGGAGCCCAGTGTGGGGCTTGAACTCACAACCCCGAGCTCAAGATCTGAGCTGAGACCAAGAGTCGGATGCTCAACCGACTGAGCCCCCAGGTGCCCCTAAGATGGGATTGATATGAGCGATTTTTACTCTGCCAGTCCACCAAACTTTAGAAATGCCACCTGTCAGCTTCCCTGGAGTGAGAGGTAAGTAGTCCAGATGAGAGCCTGAAGCAGAAATGGGTGAGGGAAAATAAAAAGATATATGAGATTATCATAATTCTATGAAAAAACTTCTAAAATCATAAAAGGAGTTTCATGATTATACAAGGAGTTTCCTCTGGTTTTCTTAACACTGCTTGGCAACACCTCCAAAGTACAGAGATCCTTCAAAGTCTTAGACAGATGGCTTTACTATTTATGTGGGATATTATTATTATTATTTTTAAGATTTTATTTATTTATTTGAAAGAGAGAGAATGAGAGAGACAGCATGAGAGGGGGGAGGGTCAGAGGGAGAAGCAGACTCCCCGCTGAGCAGGGAGCCCGATGCGGGACTCGATCCCGGGACTCCAGGATCATGACCTGAGCCGAAGGCAGTCACTCAACCAACTGAGCCATTCAGGTGCCCCTATGTCGGATATTATTAACTAATCATGAACTTTTTATACCACTGTACCAAAATTTAATAGAATTTATTAGGGATTTCAGAAAAACAAAGCTCCACAACTATAGCTAATACATAATTTGAATAACAAAATATCCTGTTTTATTTTTAAATATAATGAATTTGTTTTCAGTAGCATGCTCATTAAAAACAATGAAGCATTTCCATTCACTAAAAATGTATTTATCAATAAAATACATAATAACCTTGTAGCATAAATGTAAACTAGTCAATTTATCTCCATTACTCATGTTATGATTTACCTTTATCTTATGGTAATAGTATTTTAAATCATTAACAAATGCAGAGATCTATGCTCTATTTACAGGAGACTGTCAACGATAACGACTCCGGGTCATACTCGCTGTTGTACGCCGTCAGTATTTTCTCTGCCATCTGGATCCGACGCCAGGAGATGGGCTGCCCCTTGGCTGGCTGTTCTGTAACACAGCGTCACAATGTTACTGCACTCCAGTATTCACAGGCTTTACCACGGGGATCTCGCCACAGATTACAGATTGTGTAACACAGAACTCCTAATTCAAATCCCCAAAGGCTACATACTCCTCCTTCTCAACGTGACTTCCACCTCATGGAAGGCAGCATACTCATTATAATAATTCATAACCGTCACTCTTCCTATTGGTAAAAATGTGCTTAGGAGGTGCTTTTTGTCATCACCTGCTGTGTAAATGGTCAGAAGGAGTAGTTTTATGTTCTCAGAGAAGCACTTGCAGCTCGTAGAACACCCTAGGAGTAGTTCTAACAACATACACTGGGTTGAAGAAGTTAAGTTGCTTGGGAGGGCAATAGTTAAAAATTCATTAAATTCATAACATTCATTTTTACAAAGGAAATAAAATATTCCAAAATGAAAACTGTGCCCCTAAGATTCACAATTTTTAGGTGGAAAGAGCACGTCTCCGGACGCCCTGCAGCAGGCCTACTGGGCTCCGGGGTCTGTGGGCTGTCTCTGCGGGCGCAAGAGCCTCAAAGGTAGGAGCATGTTACCCTCGTTCTCCGCACCCTCCCCCCCCACCCTGCCCCGAGCTCGCAGAGTGCCTGACCAGTGTGATGACCGACAAAAACAAAACATCAGACAGCTACGGTTGCCCAAAAGAGGAAGCTGTAGATTTTGGACGGGATAAAACTTGGGCTGGATAAGCCTTCCCAGAGGGGACGGCACTGAAGTCCAGCGTGGAGGAGGAGCAGGAGAGAGGCCAGCAGGAGGGCAGGTCCCGGAGGGCCAGGGCGGGGAAGGGCAGGGGGTGGCGGGACGTGGGGAGTTCCTGGGAGACCGATCTGTGGCTCTGGGCTGTGTGAGCGACGTGTGGGGGAGGAAGGGTGTTGAGTGCGTTATGGCCAAGGTGATGGGTAGCCCTGGCCAGAGCGCCACGACCTGTTCGTATTCGCGCCGTACAAAGATTGTTCTGGTGATGGTGTGAATGGTGAGCTGGAGACAGCACATCTGGAGCTGAGACGCCATCCGTTCTTGACCAGGACACACTCAGGAGTGAAGAGTTGTGAGGGATCTGAGGTGCACTTATTATTAGGAGGGTTTATTGCCTGGGGCTACGGGAGAATGAGAAGCCTGGAAATCTGGAGGACAATGGTGTCCTCAACTGAAATAAGAATTACAAAAGGTAGAAGAGATTTTGGGAGGAACAGGGGAAAGAGCCAATCCTGGCTCTGCCACTGAACATTTCTCAGACTTGAGAAAATTACTTCATGTCCCTCACTTAGTAGATCACACAAGAGAATGTGTGAAACCATTTGGCCAAGTACTTCTCAGGGGCAGGAACCCCATAATGGGCTTCCTTTGTTCTCTCTAATTATATCTCAACAATGTTCAGTTGCCACCAAAGAGGATTAATTGATTAAATATTAACATTCACCAAAGGACTTTGGAAAAACTCCAGAAATAGTGGTATTTTATTTTATGGAGCATAAAATCTTGCTTCAGAATACTAAAAAAAAAGTTTCAAGTTCAAATAAATCACCTCATTTTATTGCAGTCTGAAAAAGGAAGATGATTCTATATTCAAAGACCATGTATAAAAAAATCACGTCTCAACCAATATTTTCAAGTATTTAGTATGTCTAGTTTCTGTGAAGTGAACAGTAAGTGGAAAAACAGCCTCAACAATATAGTTCCAAAGATTAATCACGTAAGGAGACAGCTCACGAAAGTTCCTGTGGAGCGTAAGTACCAAACCAGCGATACTGAGGTACTATGTCCAGGGGAAGGTGTGGTCAACATCGGCCACGCTGGTCGTGGAGGGCTTCGTGGGGGAAACGTCATTACGCTGGCACTTAGAAGGGCTGGATTAGGGCAACAGAGCGAAAGCACAGCTAGGCAGTTCGGAACTGGGCGCGGACACCAGCAAAGCAGGAGCAAACCATGGAGGTGGGATAGAGTATTGCGACTTGGAGGACAACCTGCGAGACTGGCTTGTCGGGAACCCAAGCTTCATCGTGTAAGAAGAGCCGCAGGTGGGACTACGGGTTGCTACAAATCAACGGGTAGAGTGAGTCCTACTAGTTACAAGGGGAAGTCACGCTCTGCATGTAGCTTGCACTTAAGTGTTTTGAGGACTGCTTCCTTTTTTTGGGACAATGTGAGCAGATAAGATGATCATAATAGAGGCAGTAATCATGCAGCACACTGAGCTGTGGTCGCGGGAACTGTACCACAGGCTCTGTGCTAAGGGCCTTCCAGGAGCGACTGCCTCCCAGAACCCTCACAGGTGCTCTCAGGGGATGATGATGGCTGGGAGGAAACAGGAAAGGGCGGGCTGGATTCTGGTCCTCTGAAACCTCAGAACAGCGCTGGCTCTAAGCCCAGCTGGCTGATGCCTGAGGCGTGAGAGATGCTGAAATGACTCCTGCTCAAAATTATTCCTAAATCCCACCAAAATCCCACTACTAGAAATTCACCAGAGTTCTTTCCAGATATTGTTTTTAAATGATTTAAATGCTTTTAAATCTTCCTGAATGATTTAAAAAAATGATAAGTCATCTTTTAAAATTCATGCTAAATACCTTAGCATATATCAGTTCACTTTTCTGCCTAAGAGGAGAAACCCAAATCAACATCACCAAACTCCGTGGGAGAAAAAACACAAAGGGCAATAGAATTGGGGAAATACACAAAAACCAGCAACAAAAACACGCATGTGGGCATGCAGGGTGGTGGACAGGTATATAAACTTCACCCAGGTTGTGAATTTTCCAGAGAGATGTATAATTTTTGAGACTTAAACATAAATTCTCAAATCTTAAACCAATGGCATTTGAGTTTTCTGTATTGGGGTACTTGGTAGATTTATTACATAATTAATGTTGCTCTGCTGAGAAATTCAGGTCCTGAGTTAACTACATAATGCATGTAAATTATAATGCTAGACATATATGACATATTATCATTTGGAAACAAAAATCTTGTAAGTTCATATGGGTATGAAAACATTGGGGTGGAAAGGTAAAATAAAATAAAAAACATTAATAAAAACCTTACTTTCCACATCTCCAAGCCCACAAATATTCCTGAATAGATATTCCTGCCATTACGTGGAGAGCACTAGGCTGTACCACAAGGGTCCTGACAAAAACAAGGCAGCTTTGGTGGTCTCCTGTGTCATATACAGAAAGTATAGGAATATGATTACAAATTGCCTTTCTAGAACATACATATTAAATAATTTTACTTATTTGGAAATTGTGATGGAGACACAGGAACAAATTTTGACAGCTTTCCAAAGACCAGGTGATGGGGATTAAAGACTATACTTATCATGATGAAAACAAAAGACCAAGAAGTATCTAAAGCCCATTCACTTTATTCCTAGGGGAGGCACTAAGCACTTATTTATTTGTGCTTTAACCATAACTCTAAAAGCTTGGACATCCATCTTCTGGACTCAAAATAAATTATAAGCAGCTAAATAGAAAATCTGAAGGAAGATACAGGTAGAATCAAGCAGGTGATAAAATGAAAACAAATGGCTCTAAGAACACAAACTTTGAAACTTTGCACCCACCATAAATGTTAACCCATATCTAATGAGAAAACCATCAGAAACCTCCACGTCATGGGACAGTCAACAAGACACCCGGCCCAGACTCTTCGGAGGTGTCAGCGTGCACGAAAGATTGGAGAATGAAGAGATGAGACATCCACGGACAATGTATAGGGCTGCATCCTGCATCAGAGAAGACGTTTTGTTTCTAACTGGGGAATTCTGAATATGGATGTGTATCAATATTAATTGACCTGGGTGGGATGATGGTGCTGTGGTTATGCAGGAGAATGTCTGTTCTTAAGAGAACATGTGTGCTTAAGTATTTAGTGTGAAAGGATCATCATGTCTATAACTGACTTTCAAACAGCTCACTGAAATGTACGTTTGTGTGTGTGTATGTATGAATCTCTCTCCTGTCCTTTCATCTTCTATTTATTCTATTCTTCCATCCACCCACCCACCCATCCTTCCATCTATCAGATAAAGCAAGCATGACAAAATGTCAACAAACAGTAAATGCAACTGAGGAGTAAAAAAGAATAAAAATAGTAGAAAAAGGGCAAACAAGACTAAAATGTTCAAATCCCCACGCAGAACATGCAAATGAACCAAATCCGATGGGGGAGGGGGCCGTTTAAACCGGCAGGTAATGATTCTGTGACTGCATACCATTTCCCCTGAGGATGAATGGAAGGCTTCTGACCTACGTCAGTGATGATCAGGTAAGAAGAGTGACATGTTTGGAGATAAAGGGACTAAAGAAAGCTCATGGTTACCAACTGTTGTAAGGAGTGTGAAAGATCTCAGATGAAAGTGATGCCAAGCCTCTGCTCAGCGGTCCTTCATCTACACAAGTAACTTTTCCGTTAGGAGTCAGAGACTGCCTTGGCATAAGGCCACGGCACACTGACGTGCACCGCGGAGCGCTCTGCGGAATACGCGCCCTTCGCTCCTTACTGAGCAGTATTTACAGCCGGTGCTCCGTTAGCTGTCTGGGGTCAGCACACAGTTTTCAGGTTGAGCTCAAGTGTAGAGAAGGATGATCTCCATCACCGTGGGTATTATCGCACTCAGGTGAGGTGAGAACCGTTTATGTTATAAATAACAGAAAACTGTCACAAATTCAGACACACAAAAATTATCACTGCAAAAATTACTTAAGCTTCTGAATGGGTGGAGATGAAGACTTGGCAAAAAGCCACACTGGCATGTGGGCAGCTACCGTGCACGCATCCGTCAGGGGCCAAAGTGACAGACACCACGGGAGCTGTACCACTTGCCGCAGCAGAAAGACCGTTTCCGAGAACCATCTGCCCAGAGGGAAATAAAAAGCTTCACGAGGGCGGGGGCAGCCTCTTTGTCCTTACTTACCACCATACCCAGGACGTAGCAAAAATCTAAATCATGGTTAAGAAACGTATCACGGTGTTTATGTGACAGCAAGTAAGAAATGGAGTAGACTTGCGTAGTCTTATTTTTTCCCGTCCAGATTTCAGAACTGAGCAAGCGTCCAGTCAATTCTCTAACAAAACGCTTCCTTGTCAAACACCCACGTTGAGGACAGTGAGAGTACAAGTAGCAGCTTAGTCTCAGACGCCCTTTCCACAGACCTGTCTCTGGTCACCTATGGCCACTAGGATCTCTTCCTCCTGTGATTTCCTAAGGCTGTGCCGTCCACACATGGTCTCAGGTCATATTAGAGTGATTGCTATACACTCTCCATGAGCTCTTTCTCCCTGTTAGATTGAAAATTCCTTAATGCAATAAATTACCATTTATATGTGTATCTTTACCAGAACTCAGTTGTCAAGGCAAAAAATAAAAAAAATTCCAAATAACAATGTCTAGTTTTGAACTTTGAAGACATGAAAGGGTTGGGAGCAAGGGTGGGATCATTACCAAGGTAAAATTCTTGACAATTTTCCAATTAGGCTACACACCCAAAATTATTATCTGGGGAGTAGTACACTCACTGATCCCTGTTGCTGTTCCCATGAATGATGAAATACTCTGGGTGTAAAAAAAACTCTATATTCTGATCTTTTTAAGTGAGAAGATATTTGCTGATTCTAACAAAACAGATCATAATTGAAAGTTAACTGGGGAGGAAAACTCTCCAAAAGCCAAACTCACGAAAAATTAATTTCAATACAGGATGCTTACATGTGACATCATGACATTTCCTAAAATGAGAAAGAAAAAAGCTTCTTAAAATACTTACCAGAAGTGGTATTATTTGTAAGGTGTTTTTGATGGATGGATTCTTGCAAATGGCTTCTTGTACATCTGAAAGAATTATGCCATGACACAAAAACAATTTAGTTATGTATTTGACTGAGAAGAATGACTAAAAGAATCAGATACTAAATTCTGGTATGTCAAAATATTCAAAATCGAGTTAAGAGTCTTTTTTCTATTGTCCCAGAAACAGTGTTTATACTTATATTAGGTAGGAAACAGAAGCAGTTTGGTTAAAAACAATGACATAAAGCTTAAGTTGATAAGAAGGAATTCCTAATACTTTGACTATTCTATAATGATCTTTATTCAAATACTGGGTTTTCATTTCTTTCCATTTGTCTTTCTTCTTCTTCTTTTTTAAACCAAAAGGAAATTCCATTCTTGGGAGTATGCCAGGAAAGAGGAGACGCTTATTAGCTAGTAAGGCACAAAAGCTGATGGACTTGTCACCTCTTGCCTTTTCAGTGTTTGGGCTTCTGTCCATACAATAGCAGCAAGGGTCCGGGCAAAAGGAAAGAACAAACAAACAGACAAACCCAACAACCTTCAAGCAGAATCCTTTATGTGAAGCATGAAAGTATCTAATAGGGAAATATATATATATTATATATATATTAGAGAGAGGGAGAGAGAGTGTATGTGTGAGTGGGGCGAGGGGGAGAGGGAGAGAGAGAATCCTCAAGCAGAGTCCATGCTGAGCGAGGAGCCTGATGGCAGGCTCAGTCTCAGGACCCTGAGATCACAATCTGAGCTGAAATCAAGACTTAACTGACTGAGCCACCCAGGTACCCCTGCTCAAATACATTTTTTAAACTGTTATATATTTGATTTAAGTAGCTAATAATCTGGATACATTTTGTATTTTTATTTCCAATTATTAAATTAAATTTTAAATTACAATTGTCTAAGTACAAAATATAAAATTTCTTATGAAAGCTGTTCTTCCATACTCACAGTATAAGCTCTCATTGAGACGACTGAGGGACTGTAGGATCTTCTGCTCCCCAGCTGAGAGTGCAGAGATGTCGAATGCCTGGGTCTTATTTAAAGCCAGATTTGGTTTCTGTAGCTGCTTGCTATTCATGACAGTGAGAATTTCATCCTCAGGCACTGAAGCTTTCACTAGGCTTTCAGCCATCAAAAACTGCGAAGTACTATCTGAAACTACAGAAACTTTACATCAATTATTCTTTGATCCCTTTTTGTCTTTGGGATCTTCCCACATACCTACTTAACTGACATGCGTCTGTATGTATTCATTTCACAAATAGAAACCCAGTAAATCTTCTGTTACTTTGCATTTTATTTATCAGGATTATCTGTATCTAGCATTTTCCCATCCCTGATTAGAAAATAGAAATTCAAAATGATGGCAGGGAGGCAATGAAAACCCCTAGCATGTTACCTGAGCTAAAGGAAAAACGCATCACCTTTAGATTATGTTTGTGTTGTGTTTTTGTTATCCATTGGTAATTCAAAGAGAAGATGAAGTAGATTGTCTTTATAATAACAATTAAGTTAAGTTATGAATAAAAGAGTAAAATAAAAGGAAAGGAAAGTTAGAAGATGAGTGACAGGCTAAACAGAACTGACTGCCTAGGAACAGACCCATGAAGACACAAGAATTTAACATCTGATCAAAGAAGCATCAAAGTCTTGAGGGAAGGGAAAGATGACTCAATAAATTAGTTTACTGCTTATAAAAGAATCAACTTGCAGTTTTCCTGTACATCATCCATTTAAACAAATTCAAAGGAAATTATTTAATTTAAGGAATGAAACCATTAGAGCAATCTAGAGGAGACAGAAACACTCCTGTATTTCTGTATTGGGAAGGTTCTTTGCTTTTAAAAGTAATGGAGAAATCACTAAGTAAAGACTAAAAGACGTGTTTATTTAAAGGGCAGTCTTCCCTAATAGCCTAAATTTTTGAAAGGCAAGACTTTTGTGTGTTTTATGCATTACTGTATATCCAAAATCTAGTTGTAGGCAGGAAATTAGCTCTCAATCACTTGTTGAATGAAAAAATTAATTCTAAGTATAAACATGTAAGTGGAATAAAATGCAAATAATAAAGTAATAAAAACATTTGCAACTAATATGAAGAATAGAACCCTTGATATTTAAAGAATTTGCAGAAATCAGTAAGGAAATACCAAAACTCCAATATCTACTGGGGAAAACAATACAAAGGACCAATTCATCAGAAGCAAAGACATATACAAAAATAATTAAGCATATTATTAATAAAAGATAAACAATTCAAAACTAATAAAACACAATTTCTTTGCCTATCATGTAAGCAAATCATAGAAATAATTCTACCTCAAGTTGGCATACATCTCAGAAAAGTTTTAAACGTTATTTCTCAGGGAAATACTTTGGAATCTGCATAAGGAGCTATAACAATGCTTATTTCTTCTGATCCAGTATTCATTTAATACACAGAGTTTCGTTCAACAAATATTTATTAGGTGCCAATGACATGTCAAATAGTGTAATTGTGATTCCTGGAATCTTCGTCTTACGGAAATGATTGAAAAGTCAGGAAAAAGCTTCACGTAGAAAGATGTTCAGTACATTATTACTTAGAATAAACAAACCTGGCAACAGGCTAAATGTGCAGGATAAGGGGCTCGGATCCCACTTGGGGGCTTACCTGTCACGTAGTATGTATGTACTTGGGAAAACACACGTAGCAAAAAATGAAATCGCTGGGAACAAAGCTCAGAGAAAAATTTTAAACCGAAACATACCTTCTTCAACATCAGAAGTACCCCTCGTAGTGTGTTTTGGCTCACTTGAACTTGGCTGGACACTTTGCCCAAAATTCTACAAAAATATAATATTATCTAAGAATAGATTTCCATATTTAAATATTCATGATATCCATTTATTTAAAAAACATGTGCATTCTATATAGTTTCAGTTATCACTGCTCATGTAACCTGGATATTTTCTTTTTCTTGGAGCAGAAATCAAGGCTTACGGGGATAAGGCCTTTCTAGGGTACCTGAAATTTCGAAACATGTTTCGAGTCAATTTTGGAAAATTTTCAGGTTGCAGTGTCACCTCGGGTCTTGGAGGAGGGAAGTAAGGCGCAACAATCTACCCTAAGGGTTATGACCGAGTTGGTTTCTCACCGTAGGGGCCGAGCCTCCCACGAGGACTAGTGCCGAGGACGACACTTGCGCAGAGCTGTGAGCGGGCAGCTCGCCGCCCCGGCCGCGGGCACCCCATATAGGGTCCGCGCTCTGCCGGCTGGCTGGACGCGGCTCGCCCCGCTGCCCCGACGGCCCTGCCCCTGGTGGCCCTGCTGCCCCCGACTGCCCTGCCCCCGCTGGCCCCGCTGCCCCGACGGCCCTGCCCCTGGTGGCCCCGCTGCCCCCGACTGCCCTGCCCCTGGTGGCCCCGCTGCCCCGACTGCCCTGCCCCTGGTGGCCCCGCTGCCCCCGACTGCCCTGCCCCTGGTGGCCCCGCTGCCCCGACTGCCCTGCCCCTGGCCTGCGCTCGGCCGGACCCCGAGAGTCGCTGGCGCAGGCGTGAGCGAGAGCCCTGCCGCCCTTGCCCCATGGCCTCGCCCGGCCTCTGCTGGAGATGGGGTCCCGCGGGGAGACGCCGTCCTGGCACAAAGTGGGACCCTGCTCCTCCCACCTTTCATGGCTCTCTCTGATTTTCTCCACGTGGAAGAACGACGAAACACATTTCCCAAAACAAGGTGACAGGGGCCATCACTCTAGTGACTGCCCCGCGGCGGAGGCATTTGAGTTAAAATACAAAACAAAAACCCCCAAATCAAAACAAAACAAGAGGGCTGAAAACCTTAAACTTCAAATCTTGAATTTTGATTCGGGAACACTGACCTACTCTAAAGGTAACGAGACCGTGGAAGATGTTTAAGCAGGTGTGTGAGTGGAAGGTGGACATGGGGCTTCTGGAAAGAAACACACACATGGGCTCAAAACCAGGGAGACAGTGTGCAAAGGGGCACACCCGGACAGAGGAGGACCCCGAAAGATAAAGATGAATTTAGAGAGCGCACTCCTCAGGGGCACTTCAAGTTTAGTTCATTCTTGTTGTTGTTATAACAACTATATATTGCTTTAGCATTTAAAATCATTTATACAAATACACCCTTGTTCACTTGACAGATTCTGAGATGCTTGATGTGAACAACATGGGGCTTGAGAGGAAGGCCTTCCTAGGCATTACTGTACCTTCAGGAAGGTGAGTCTGTGAGTGAGTGCTGGGCTACTAAGCATTAAGAATAGCATGGTCACGGGGCAGCTTTATTTACATCGTACAGAACTAAATGTCGTTGGTCTTGCTGGTAAGAATATATCATGGTTGATTTTCCTCCACAGTAAAAATCTTATCTATATAAAACAATAGTTCCTACAGTATACAAATAATAGAATGCTCAACTCATAAGTCGGATATAAATTCTTCATAAGGCACTCTATTTCACTGCTATCAAAAATCGGAAGTGCTACTTAGAGTAGAAATCCCAAGTGAAATGCTATTTACTCATCCCTCTAGATGTTTTAATAGTTATCTATTTATTTGGATTTTATTTACTTGACAGAGAGAGAGAGAGACAGAGGGCAAAGAGGGGGAGCAGGAGAGCGAGATGCAGGCCTCAATCCCAGGACCCTGGGATCACGACCCGAGCCGAAGGCAGATGCTCCCCCCAGGCGCTCCTGATTTAATATTTTAAATTCAATCCTTGGATGAGGTTAGATGTCCAGAAAATGTCATATTTAGGTCATGTTTACTTAGCTCTCATGGGATTACCTCCACTAATTTTAAAATGACTTTTATTAAGCTTCTGACTTTTACTGAAGATCTCTATCTCAAACAGCCATATGAAACTCCTGATTCGTCTGCTGTTGACTATGAAGAGGTGTCCATCCATTCTGAGCTCCGGGCGCCCACAGAGGGGCCTCAGGGGGGCAGTCTCTTCCTCTACTGCACCTCAAACACCATCATTATCAGTGACCCCTGAGAACCATACACACCATCCTATTTTCCTTTTGCCGTATCTTCCAGGAAGCTCAGATCCACAGAGGATATTTAAGCACAAGAACTTGACTAGTCTTCATGATTAACACACTTACTTCCTCTATCCAGGGCTCTCATTTACTTTTCTGTTTTTCTTTTTTTTTAAGATTTTTTAATTTATTTGCGTGAGAGAGAATGAGAGACAGAGAGCATGAGAGGGAGGAGGGTCAGAGGGAGAAGCAGACTCCCCGCTGAGCAGGGAGCCCGATGCGGGACTCGATCCCGGCACTCCAGGATCATGACCTGAGCCGAAGGCAGTCGCTCAACCGACTGAGCCACCCAGGCGCCCTGTTTTCCTTTTTTTATGTATACTTAGAAACTTTGTTGCAAATAACATGTATAAATAATAAAGAAAAGAATAATGGTGATTTGTTAAGGTTGGTTGAAAATCTCCATTAGTAATTGATCATACAGGCAAAGAGAATATAGCAAACACGTCTAGTACAGTCAGTTCCTAGGGTAGAGATTCCTGTGCAGCTGCTTAATGACCCTGGCATATGACCCTGGCATATTTACATTTATGTTGTGGTCCGCACTTCACAGCAAAAGCACAGTCCTTTGAGAACATTCTGTTTTCCAAGCAATTTCTCACTACTGAATAGACATTGTTACTAACACCGGACTTACGTTCATTTGCTCGTTGCACTTCTTTCCTGCAGATCCAGAGTTTTGTCTTTTCTGTTCTAAAAGGCTTCTCTGCTTATTTTCAACAATTCGCTTTCTTCTTACAACAGTAGAGCCTTAAACAATGCCAACAAAACGTCAAAATTAACATGCGTACGTCATACGCACAAACTTACGAGTTACCTTCAAACATTGCAGAAAACCCTACGTTTCTTCCGTTCATTCAGAAAACTCTTACTGAGCTTCTGTTACATGTACCATGCACGGCACGGTTAAAGTAATGAATTAAACAAAATTCTGCTTCTGAGGCGTCTGTAGTTTCGACCAGTGGTCTCCCAAGTGTGCTGCTGGAACGCCAGGAGGATAGTCAAACACATCACGCTGTGTGGGAAGAACAGACTACAATTCCACTTTCTGCTTAGTATCTGCACAGGAGAAACTACACATCACCATGTTACTGTGTGGTTGACCCTGGCACCTGGTCCGTTTGCAAGGTCAACGGTCGTAGACTGCCCACGGTAAACACCGTTCTCTGGGAGAACACTATGATGCTCTGGGAGAGATGGGCACTGCTATCAGTCACCAGGCTCTCTCGCCTCCTGTCGTCTAACTAAATGTCACCTGTGCCTGCTCAGTGGATGTACGGCTGTCTCACAGCATCTGAATGAGTCCTCACAAAATGGAAGAGTCTAAAAAAGACTTTTGTCGCGCCTCCCTTGTATGGGCAATGTTTTATTATTTTAGGTGAGTAGTGGGCATGTGCATATTTCTTATCATTTTTTCTATGCTTTTTATATGACTAATCAAAAACATATTCTTAGACAGAAGCAAACCAAGAAACAGACTCTGAACTACAGAGAACACACTGAAGGTGACCAGAGGGGACGTGGAGGGGGGGATGGGCTAGATGGGTGATGGGGTTGAAGGAGGCGCTGGTTGTGATGAGCACCGGGTGTTGTCTGCAAGTGTTGAATCAATGTATTGTACACCTGAAACTAATATCACACTGTCTGTTAACTAACTGGAATTTGAATAAAAACTTAAAAAAAAAAGAAGTGCAAACAGCCACAGACAATATGTAAATGATTCAGTGTGGCTTTGTGCCAATAAAACTTAATTTATAAAAATAGGTGGAGGGGCAGCTGGGTGGCTCAGTTGTTAATAAGTGTCTGTCTTTAGCTCAGGTCACGATCTCAGGGTCCTGGGATCGAGCCCCACATCGGGCTCCCTGCTCTGCGGGAAGCCTGCTTCTCCCTCTCCCACTCCCCCTGCTTGTGTTCCCTCTCTCGCTGTGTCTCTCTCTGTCAAATAAATAAATAAAATCTTTAAAAAAAATAAAAATAGGTGGAGAGTTTATTTGGCTTATAGACTAGTTTGCAGACCCCTAGACTAGATGATGTAGAAGTTTCTTCTACTGCTAATATTTTATGATTTAACTTGTTTTAATAGCAATGCTATATCCCTATGAAGTTAGATTGATTATTCAATCATCTGTCAAACATGGAGTTTGTGAAGTATTTTCCTGCTGTTTGTTATTAACGATAGCCAAGATATAGAAACAATCTAAGTGTCCATCAATGGATGAATGAATAAAGAAGACATGGTTTATATAAACATATTATTATTTAGCCATGAGAAAGAAGGAAGTCCTGCCATTTGTGACAACATGGATGGGACCCTGAAGGTATTATGTTAACTGAATTAAGTCACATAAAGACAAATATTGTATGGTATCACTTATATGTGAAATCTAAAAAAGCTGAACCAGGGGCACCTGACTGGCTCAGTTGGTAGAGCATGCAACTCTTAATCTCAGGGTCGTTAGTTCAAGCCCCATGTTGAGAATGGTGCCTACTTAAAAAAAAATTTAAAAAGCTGAACTAGTAGAAACTGTTGAATAGTGGTTATAGAGGCTAGGGAGTGTGGGAATTGAGATGTCAGTCAAAGTACAAACTTGCAGTTGGAAGTTCTGGAGTTTTGATGCACAGCATCATGCTTAAGTCAACAACACTGTATCATATACTTCAAAATTGCTAAGAGGTTAGATATTAAATGTTCTCCCCACAACAGAGAAATGACAATTATGTGATTGATGGAGGTGTTAGCTAGCTATGGTAGTAATCATATAGCGATATATAAATCTATCAGATCAATACATAGTACACCTTAAACTTACATAATGTAATGTCAATTATCCCACAATAAAAACAAAAAAAATTGCAAAACCATAGATCAAAGATAAAACTAATAACACAAGGACAGGTGAATAAGAAAAAGAGCTGATACATCTCTTATTCTCCTTATAAACTCTTGGCCACATAATGACAATGACAGTATAATTATATTTATAACAAAGTTAGAATCACAAATTGGAAAAATTATCAAACAAATAATAAAAATAAACCTCAACCTGAATGCATATTGTACTTTGAGATATTAGCTAATAATGGTATATGAAATGAAGTCATAATTGACAAGACATTTGAAACTAAACATTCAGAGCATTATTAGTAATGCATGAGAGAAGTATTCTATAGAATACATAAAATTATTTAAAAAATTTTTAAATGTATTATTTATAAAATACAAAATTTTGACATTCTTTTAAAAGCTTGTACTTCATTTCAATCTCCTTCTTTAAATATTTCTATTTCTGATTAAGGTTATGTATTTATTAGTACAGTAATACATTTGTATGGCACGTTTATGTGTATATGCTCAAAATTTTTACTAATGTTCTATATCCAACTATTCATACATAGTTAAATGCATACACTGTAAGTATACATATAAAACTATCCATCTATACCTAAATAACAACAGAGACCCCAAAGCTTTCAACCTTCTGGAGAGCTGGCCAGTAACTGAACACCTGAGCTTTGAGAGTAAGAAACGATACTATAATTCTAGCTGATATTAGTTCACCATTTATAAGTGCCCAGACATTGTTCTAAGGGCTGTCGGCACTGTTACCATCACTATTTTTACAGATAAAGAAATTAGGCACAGGAAAGGAAAAGTAACTTGCCTGAGGTAACAGAGTCAGTAAAGGGCAAGGCTGGAATTTGCGTCCAAGCAGTTAATCTCTAAAATCTGAAATTCTAGCTCTTATCCTCCATGCTAGTAACTTTCACTCTGATTTGGCCATCTCACAGAAAGAAATATATTTTGCACTGTGATCCAGGATGCATATACAATCCTGGGAAACACACTTACCTTTACAATATATGATGCCCTCTGGTAGTTTCTATCTTAGAACATTCTGATTCTAAAATTATATTTTATTTAAAAAATTCTCATCACCACTCATGAAGTCGATTTCATAATCCACTAATGAGGCACAATCTATAGTTTAAAAAGCTCTGTACTATTTTTATTCCCACCCATATGGGTAAGCTAAATGCTAAATATGCTAGGCTACATATGCTAAATGTTATAGTTTCTAGCGAGATCATCTGGGCGTCAAAAGAGTTTCTATACTGTTTTCTATGCTTAGAAGATCTTGGAAAGTCCCTATCTTTCCATTTTGAAGAGCTTTGAAAATACCTTAAGTGAAAATTTTCTGGCCACATGACTGCTGTGTCAAGAATGTTCCCTTCCTTCAGCCTGTTTGTAAATCTTTTGCAGTCAAGATCTGCCAACACTTTCGTATTTTCTTGATTTGTAGCATAATTATTTGTTTTTGAGCTTTATGTGTAGATGTTCAGTCTTGTGGACTGTAAATTGCTGATCCCAGGAACAGATATAGTATATGCTTAAAACTGTGTGTTGTTCCATTCACATACATACAGTTAAATACTATCTAATAATTAATATAATAGCTCAGAACCTTGGTGTATTTGCAATACATATATAAAATATATATATATATATATAGTTTGCACTGGCATCCTTGGCCAAATTTCTCATATGAAAATTCTACACATGATAGCTTTTCTATCAAAACTCAAAATAAAGCTACTAATTATTAATTATTACATATTTAAAATGTATAGTATTCTTAATTATAAACATCAGAACAAGTTCTGGAGATGTTCAGAGAATGATAGCTTTGGAAGAGCCCTTGGAAGTTAACAGGTCAACCTTTCAGTCAGAGATCTACCTTCCTCACCCACAGACATTCAACCTCTGCTCGAATGGCTTAGCCATGGGGAGCCTCCTGCACTGTTGGTGGTTTTAGCTCAGACCCTTCCTTACACTAAGCAGAAAACATCCTTGCAATTTTTACCCCTCATTTAGTTCTGTTTTCTCTTTCTTTCATATAGTAAACCTTCAAAGATTTGTACACAGCTATCATGTCTCTTAGGCTTGTGCTCCTTTATTGGTCTTCAGACCCAACCCCTGGTTCCAGAGCTCTGTGTCACCCCAGTTTGTTTAAATAGCCGTTGAAATATATAGACCATATAGGAAATGATGTAGACTACAGCAGTAGTTCCAAAGATCTGTTTATTACTGCCTAAAATTATATTAAATTTTTAACAGCTACAACAAACTCTTTTTTGGGAGGTTTAGTTTTGTGTGGATTTTTTCTCTTTTTTTTAAGGAACAGTGTCAAGACAGATACCTTTTTTCTTGGAACTGAAAAAAAAACCCCAAACCTCTAGCAAACCAAACACATACAAGCAAGCTGCAAAGGAAAAGACCACATTTAAATGAACATTTATTCATCACAAAGAATGAAACTACAAATCACAAACTGGCAGAAAATAAATGCAACACATATAAGGACACAGGACCCTAGAATATATAAACAACTCCTGTCAATTAGGGAAAAAGAACCCAAGAGCAGATTTCTCAGAAGAGGGAACACAAACAGTTCATAAACACATGAGAGCGCTCAATTCATCAGTAATCAGGGTGATGCAAGTTGTTGTCAGTAGATATTATTTCTCATCCACAAGAAGCATTACACCTTAAAGCAAGAAACTGGAGGCAGCCCAAATGTCCAATGACAGAAGAATGAAAAATCTTTGTATGTTCATTTAATGAAATGTAATACAGTAATGAACATGAAGTACAGCTAAATTAATGACAAAGAATCTAAAACATAAAATTGATTGAAAAAAGCAAATCATAGAAGAACACAGATGAAATGGCTTCATTTATATAAATTACA